GTTTAGGGGAATTCGTGAATAAGACAAAGAAGATTGTCCTCGACCGGAATCGAACCCGCTACCTCTGGAATTCGTAGCAGGCTTCTGGGACAGCTGTACCATCATGTCTCAGATTGAGATTTATGCAAATTCTTGACTGCCGCTAAGGAAACACCAAAGCAATCAGTTCAAAACAATGTCAGAAGAAACGAAGTGAAAATTTAAAATTTAATTACAAATTTAAGTAAAATTTCGTTTGGACATTGAAGCCCCATCTCCAAGTTTTGCTTTAATGATTTATGGTTCATGGCGGCAAGAGCAGCGTTCGATTCCTCTGTTTTCGAAGGTTTTGGGATCTTCTACCGGCGAGCGTGGTTCTAATGGTGCCGGACGGTTATTCACAAATGCGGGGAAGATAGTTCAGAATTTTTGCCGGCCTAATTGTCTTCCCTTTGGCAACAGAGTTTCGAACTCAATCCAAATCTAACAGCTTGAGAAAACATTACTCACGGTAGATGAGGGTACCCCCACTTAACCGAGATATTCACGCAAGCGCGAGACAGCAATCGTGCATGAACAAAAACCTGTCAAATTGCGTGACTTGTTGAGCACCAAATAAAATAGCAAATGAAAATATGATCGACGCAGTACAACAGTAAGGTCAAAGCAAGTACTTTTACCTTACCGTACTTTGTATACTACGCAGATATATGGCATAGTTTTCATATATCTTTATTTATGACATTTTTTAGGCAGTTAGTTCATCTGTTGTTTTAACTGTTCGCGGAAGACTGAAACGCTTTAATGTACGCCATACGCTATTGTTGACTTAAACCTTGACCAGAAAGGCTCAACACACAAAATAGTGCTGAAAATGCAGAAATGATTTTGATTACTGTTTTTGACCAACTATTAATGCTGAGCAGGGCATAATAAAAAATAAAGTTTTGTTGTGGTTTACGATGAACCTCCATGACGCTGCTTATAACTGTATACATTTCGCGAGTTGTGGCACTCCTAAAGTAACGGTTTTTAGATTTGACCGCTTAGAGCTTAAGGTACAGTTATTGTTTACGTGTCGTGGTTCGCTGAAAAACTGCATTGCAAGTCAGATGGCTTCTGAGAGAGTTTTACACACAGAAACGAAGGATTCGTAGGTACATCCGGACAATATATGATACTTGATAATTGAGCAACCACCGTATGGCGTAGGCCCGCACAGTGCTTAATCGATATTTTTACCAGGCAGTTCAAGCTGACGCTTCAGGCTAATGATCATGACAGGGGGAATTATTATGCCTATTAACATATTCCTGACATTTCGACCCATGTCTTCGTGCCGACAGTAAAGCATATGGCAAGAACGGGGTCCTGAAATTTGATACAAATGCATCCATGCGCTACAGGGGCTAAAATACTAACGATGTTTGGCCTGTTTAAACGACCCCTGAGGCAAGTAAGGACATGGCGGCGGTGTCATAATGCCTTGTAACCCGGTTTTATGGAATTATATGGAACTATGCCTAGTGACAATAACAGCATAGGAGACGTGCTCTAGTTTAGAAGTAAAGTCATTTACTATGTGTTAATAATTGCAGCGTAAAATTAGTTCACCGTGACGAGTTTAAATACATTATGCGCATAAAATATGGCTTTTCATATTTATTTCACAAAATTGACATCAAGAAATTTGTTCATGCTGATAAAATTCTTAAACGGAAATTTATTTTTCACGTAAGTGAGCAAATAACGCTGGCGATCAACGAATGATTGTGGTCTTAAGGAATAACGCTGAATTATGTAATGATCGCAATATTTCAATGAATGTTTCTAAGGCAGATGATCTACTGTGCTGCGCCAGTGAAACTGTTTATTGCCTGTACTGTAATTATGGTGCTCTGCATGGCTTCTGCTTTCGTACTACCTGGCGGATACCGCTACCTTATGAATGAAATGTTGAGTGTGATTTTTTACTGGTCACATTAAATCGGATTTGTACCGTGTGCGCCGAAATCATTGCATGGAAAATCGTCGTCGACTAACGTATTAATGACATAGACCAGGCCGTGGTGGATTGATATTCCTGTTATTACTGTAAATCTGCATTGCTGTCACGTTTTCCATACAGTCGTAAATATTAATAATGTAATGTTTTTGTTCACTAGCTAGCTGTCACCGAATTTCTCGTATAGCTGATTACAGTTGAAATCCACCAATAGTGAGATAGCAAAGTCCTTTAAATCAGAAACCCCGTTTGAAGGTAGTTTTTAATAAGGTACTCTTGAAGAAAGGAGGCACGAAAGATGTTTGCCTGCGTTCTCAAAACTGGATATAAGAGTTCAGGAAAATTTCGGAGTAGCGTAGTATTTATGATATTAAAAGTATTGATACCAGGTTTTGACGACGAAACATACAGTGCCAAGAAAGAAGAATTCGTTTCTTACGTTACAACCATACTACCGCAATGTCGCACCGCCCCGCCCTCTTGCTTCTCGTAGCTTAGGATAAGCATTTACAGGGGCCACGTTTCCACCGTATTTAAGCGCCAGCAGTGCATAGGACGTTGTAGCTTTTAGTTTGTCTACTGTACTTCGGCGGTACATCGTTTCTTTTTCGTAAAGACAACAGACAAGACAGGAACACGCTAGCTGAAAGAAGTCATAGACTAGCTCATTATTATTTCTTCAAGCATGAGGTGACTTTTGTCACGGTGTAGTTGAGTGTTTATTAAGATCACAGGGCATGCTTTCTAAACTGAAATTTTTCACAGTAATTTCTTCTGACTTATT